AGTGCGGTGTTTTGGTTTGAGCATTGGATGACTCTAGAAAACTGGGTTCAATTCCCTGCTCGGCCATTAAACCCATTGTGTGACTTTGGACAAGCCACACTTTCAGCCTCAAAATAAGGCAATGGCACCCATCTTCTGGATAAATTGTACTAAGAAAACCTTGTAATATGTTTGCCAAAGGTTGGAAATGGCTTGAAGGCTCACAACAACTAATTTTCTTCTTGAATTTTGTTAATTTCATGGAAACTCAAGACACACGTTTTCTCTCTGTGTGAAATGATTAAAAAATCAGCTTTTGGGGTGAGTCGTTTCCACTTCAAAATGTCCAGCTTCCTCCTTGTGATTTGAAATTTGAAGTATCTGCTAGTTTGAAACACTATGTATGAAGAACAATGTAAGGCAATAAAAATACTGCAAGTTCACTGCGAGGTAAACCGCCAACCTCTCAGCTACATTATTAAAACTAATTATATTACCTCAGAGCGCACATTTTTGTACAATGAATCCCTCTTACTCTCATTTTCTTTATTTATCTTTGTTTTCACTTTGGGTGGTTTAAAGTATTTCATTTTTTACATTAAAGACTCCAAAAGGAAGTTAGCATTTCATACTTTCAAAGCAAGTTGGAATATGACAATGCTTCAGGTGTTAGTTAAGAGTAATTATTGGTATTTTATTTGGAGGAAGTATGGAGAAGAAAGCCAGTATGCTGTAGTACAGAGCTTTCCAAACATTTCACGTTGGGGGCATACTTTTTAGATATGCATCATTTTGCAACACAGTTTTATTAAACTAATCCCTTATAAAAAGAATGGATACATGCATAAATTTTAAGAACGAAAAGTATGGGAACACAACGTATCTCATGAAAGTCTTTCATTTATGTATTTTCAAAATATATGGTTTATTGTTTATTTCACTTGGACTCAGAGATTTCTTGTTACATTCGTGTGAAACATTATTGTGTACACTGAAGGTGACACAATAATGTATAGTGATACAGTTTGGAAAGCTCTGGTGTAGTTGTCTTCCAAGAAAAATACAAACAGATGTCCCATGGCAATCAGCAAGTGGTGACGGGGGCAGGACTGTGAAATCTGGAAGGCCCAAGTCACAAACTGGGTGGTGGATATGGATTCAGTCATTCTACCTCAAAGTCCAAGCAGGTGAGTAGTCTGGCAGCTGTATCCATGACTGAGCAGCCTTTTTTAGAAACCACACTGTTCACCCCACACAGGAAAGGGGCTAGAAAAGGTGACCTAAACATAGTCTGTCTCTCTTATCCCTGACTGGATTGCCGCGTCCAGAGGGGTCACCGCATTGTGGCCAAAAAAGAAAAATAAACTTTGGAACACGGAACGTACGGACACTGTTGGACAACACAGAAAGTGAACATTCTGAACACAGGACTGCTATTATTGCAAGGGATCTGGGACGCTTTAACATCGACACAGCAGGTGGAAGGCACGTGAAGCCAACCCTGGCCAGGACCACCTTCCACTTGGAAACTGATGTCCTCACTGCGGGAGAACATGCAGATCAAGAATAGGGCTCCACAGCCACCTATTGACCCACCATCAAGACACTACACTTGGAGGTCCATCATCCTCAGGCTATGAGGGATCGCCTAAGTAAGTAGTTTGAGTTTGGATTGGAAGACCAGGGCAACCCACTGCATGACCACAGGCAAGTCATAGTCTTTCAGCCTCAAAAAAGAAGGCAGTGGCACTCATTGAAGAAAACACAAGGAAACCCCATGATTCACCTTAGTCACCAGAAGTCAGAAATGACTTGAAGGCGCACAAGGAAAGAAAGAAGATAACTCAGCTCCTAAGCATTTCTTTTTCCTGATGCTACTGAGAATGAAATAAGTCTTTCCCCCCCTCATAACTGCAGAAAGACACACGTGGAGCAACTTATAAAGGGTTCTTATCCCAAATTGATCCACACAAGACATCCAACTTTTTTTTTTAAACAGACTATAGGTTGAACATCCCTTATCTGGAATTTTGAAATACTCCAAAATCCAAAACCATTGAAGTGGGTGATTGTAATATTTGTGTTTCATGCACAAAATTACTAAAATATTGCATAAAATTATATGTGGGCTGAGTGCGTAAGTGAAATATAAATGAATTTCATATGTACTAGATTTGGGTTCCACTTATGTATCTTCAAATATAGTAACTAATTACAAAACCTAAAGAAATCCAAAGTACTTATGATCCAATGTTGGACAAGGGATACCTAACCTGTGTTAGATGCTGCACGCCAGCTCAGTAATCTGATATTTAGAACATCGTTGAAAAATAAATATCAACTAAATATCACTTCTTTGAGCTTATTTAGTGATATTTGAAAATGGTATTTGTTTTAAGAACCAGAAACCAGCATCAGGTGAAGAAACATTACTGGTGCACTTTTCTCCTCTAGATGGCATGTTCTCCCAATATGTTTAGATATAGGAGAAAAATTCTATATTCTGATTTTCAAAATATATAAAAAAGTACTTAAACACATATGACATTAATGAATAGACATACATAGAAATACATAGACCTGAAAACATAGCTTTATTTTCCAAAGCTGTATTTAAGATCACCATAAGTGTTTGCTTTTAAGGTCAGCCTAAAGACATGTTCAAAAAAGGGGAAAACTCCAATCATAGAGGTGGGAGTAAGGGTTCAGTTTTACCCAAGGACATCTACAGTGTAAAATGAATGCACTTTGACACCACTTTAACTGCTATAGCTGAATGTTATGGAATCCCGGGATTTGTAGTTTGGTAATCTAAGGTGAGCAAAAGGCATTTGGAGCAAGGATGTAGAAGTAACCGGAACACTTTTAGTAGTTTATTGTTCTTATTGAAACGAGATATTACACATACACACACACACTCATTTGAGGATATTTAGAGCAGCTTTAGGCGCATGAAATTGTCATAATCATCTCATCTTTAACTTCACTTCACTTCACTTTATTTCTTAATTAGTCGCTCTCCACCAAGGTCCTCCGAGCGACTAACAGTCTAAAATAGCATTTACACAATATAAAAACATTCAACAGTGACTATTTGGCAAATTAGATCTGATTACTTAAATGCACAACCAAACAGCCAAGTCTTGAGTGCCTTTACAAAAGGTTGCAACTCCGACATTGCTCTAATGTATGGAGGCAATGAGTTCCACAGAATTGGAGCATATGTCGAAAAAGCTCTGCGCCTTGTAGCTTCCAGATGTACCTCCCTAGGGCCCGGTATATATAGATTTTCCTGGGTGGATCGAGGTGACTACTGATGGAAAAAAGGAATGAGGCGGTCCCTAACTCCTTATTTTTGTGTGGTAAAGTTGGAAGATGTAACATGTATGGCACTCAAGAACCCTTATGTGAAAGTGGATAAAGTGAAGATTTAAAACAAATCTTCACATTGACAAGTCCACTTGTCAGTCTATGTATGGATTCCATCAACAAGTGGAATCATATGTAAGGGGATGATACATTGCACTCTGTACAGGACAATATATTCATGGTCTTTCAAGTACTGCAGAGTTCCAGGCAGTGTATCTGCATAGTCTGCAAAACTGATGCATACCTGATTTTTTCAGTGTTTTTTAATATTTGACAGGAGTTACAAAAGTAGATTTTTGAAAAAAAAAATCACTCCTGTAATATCTATGTTTTACACATTTTTACTATCTCTTCTCGCAACAGTCCTGTGCTGTCAAGACTGTTAGAAGGCCATAAAAACAATGAATTCATTTTTTGCAATCGTCTTATATTTCTTGAGGACCTCAAGCTCAGTAGTTAAAATACCATGTCTAAACAATGAAGCAAAATCATGATATTCATTTGCTTATGTGCCTGACTCTTCCTAAGTTTCCTTTAAGACTGTAGCTATCTCATTAAAGCACACACACAGAGCCTCCATCCCATCTCCTCCACCTCTCTGTCTCCTGGGGAAACGTTAACCCCCTTGCCCATACCACAGAGGAAAAATGTGATGAATTTCTGCTCATTTATGCCACAGCTCCGACGAAAACAAGCTGTGCTGTCTTGCTGGGATTTTGTACACAAAGGTTGTGTTCATACTGAATTTCAACAGTTTGCTCTGGTGCTGTATTTAGACCTGGAAATGCTCCTGGTCCTGGAGAACTTGTATGAGTCCTGTTCTAAATGAACATCTAATACTAGAAGATAAAGCTTTGCTTATTCTCCCTTATGTGTTTCTATGCTAGAAACCCAGTAAACAAGATCATAACTAGAGAATGTGTGTGTGTGTGCGTCTTCACGTTGCTTGTTGGCTTATGGCAACCCCATGAATTTCATAGGGTTTTCTTAGGCAAGGAATATGCTGAGGTGTTCTACAATAATACAACAAGACAGGACAACACATTCATAATTAGTCTAGAAATTGATTTTCCCAGATGATTTGAGATGCTTTTATTTAAGTGAAAGTAATAAAATATAGAACAAATTAGTTCAGAGCAGAATGAACTAATTCAGAAAAGAAACCAAATCTGGATAGCTTACTAAAAAGATGCTATGGTGTAGAATTAGTATAGCTCCCTATTAAAGAATATGGGAGACACAGAAAGTGCCTCCTCGAAGACTGAGTAAAATACAGTCAGGTGTCCCCTGGGCAACGTTTCTTGTAAATGGCTAATCTTTCCAATCCAAAAGAACTGCTTTACAACATTTTTATTTATGCAGTGCCTTTGACATGAAATAAATAAATATTATAATAGGTATTTGTTGTATATTTTCTAGTTATTTCTAACTTATGGTGACCTAAGATGAATCTATCACAGGGTTTTCTTAGAAAAATATGGTCACAGTGGGTCTGCTATTGCCTTCTTCTGAGGCTGGGAGAGTGTGACTTGCCCAAAGTCATCCAATGGGTTTCAATGACCAAGGAAGATTCAAACCCTACTTTAGTCCAATACGTAATCCACTACACCATCCTAGCTCATTATCATGTGAAAGGGAACAATAGAAGTAGAGAGATTTAAAGTGTGAATTTAATAATAGCATGAAAGTAAACATAACAACAGTTCCTTCCACACTTCAAACATCGCTTAAACTCAGTACTGATGTCCTGTTCAATCAAACTTATGGACACATGTATTTTCATATTACACAGCAGAAGGACATAACAAAGCACTGACAATTCACATTGTTAGCAATAAAGACTGAACAGAAACAGTACTAATTTAATGTCTATTTAGTACTGCTGCATCACCTTCTCTGCTCAGAAAACGTTGTCCACCCATATGGTATTCATTTTCATACACAGGTTTCCAGCACACCTACTTACGTACAATAAATCATCCTGCTTTATCATCACTTAAGTTTATTTCTAGTATCAGGTTATGGGCTTAAGCATTCACTGCACATATAAGATCTGAAGAGACCGATGTTCAATAAAATCTGCTCCTTTTATTTATTTCAGTGGCTTTTCATCACAGTGGCAATAAATAGGAATCATATCTTTATAAAACACATTATTTATGATAGCCACTTTCACAAACCCACTATTAACACAGTTCGCAATTTAAAATTAACGTAAGTTTTAGATGACTGGAGATTAGATGCAGAGTTAAAAAAAGTAATTCTGCTTCCTGGACAGGTTTGTTATGGCTTAAGACTGGGTGATTTGCAGGGCTTCCAACATGTCTTCTACAGCTTTCAAAGAGTACTTGGTTTCTTTCTTACTGCGACCAGCATACTATGGAGAAAAGAAGATATGATCTTTTTTATTTGTTAAACATGAAATGAAACTTATGACTCTACCACCTCAATAGCCATGCAACAAACAGAGGTTTTCATATTTAAAGAACCATGGTTTACTATTTTGTGAGCACATTTTTGTAATACCTGAAATCCCTGCTGGGAATAACCACGTGACTTGGCCTTATATAAGGATGCAGGAGCCATTCTGGATTAGCTCCATTATACTGTAAAGTCTACTCACCTCCCAACGCTTCGGGACTAAAAAAAGTAATATCCTTCCCAATTATAGAATCATAGAATCAAAGAGTTGGAAGATACCTCATGGGCCATCCAGTCCAACCCCCTGCCAAGAAGCAGGAATATTGCATTCAAATCACCCCTGACAGATGGCCATCCAGCCTCTGTTTAAAAGCTTCCAAAGAAGGAGCCTCCACCACACTCCGGGGCAGAGAGTTCCACTGCTGAACGGCTCCACAGTCAGGAAGTTCTTCCTCATGTTCAGATGGAATCTCCTCTCTTGTAGTTTGAAGCCATTGTTCCGCGTCCTAGTCTCCAGGGAAGCAGAAAACAACTTGCTCCCTCCTCCCTGTGGCTTCCTCTCACATATTTATACATGGCTATCATATCTCCTCTCAGCCTTCTCTTCTTCCGGCTAAACATGCCCAGCTCCTTAAGCCGCTCCTCATAGGGCTTGTTCTCCAGACCCTTGATCATTTTAGTTGCCCTCCTCTGGACACATTCCAGCTTGTCAATATCTCTCTTCAATTGTGGTGCCCAGAACTGGACACAATATTCCAGGTGTGGTCTAACCAAGGCAGAATAGAGGGGTAGCATGACTTCCTAGATCTAGACACTATGCTCCTATTGATGCAGGCCAAAATCCCATTGGCTTTTTTGCCGCCACATCACATTGTTGGCTCATGTTTAACTTGTTGTCCACGAGGACTCCAAGATCTTTTTCACACGTACTGCTCTCAAGCCAGGCATCCCCCATTCTGTATCTTTGCATTTTGTTTTTCCTGCCAAAGTGGAGTATCTTGCATTTGTCACTGTTGAACTTCATTTTGTTAGTTTTGGCCCATCTCTCTAATCTGTCAAGATCGTTTTGAATCCTGCTCCTGTCCTCTGGAGTATTGGCTATCCCTCCCAATTTGGTGTCGTCTGCAAACTTGATGATCATGCCTTCTAACCTTCATCTAAGTCATTAATAAAGATGTTGAACAGGACCGGGCCCAGGACGGAACTCTGCGGCACTCCGCTCGTCACTTCTTTCCAGGATGAAGAGGAAGCATTGGTGAGCACCCTCTGGGTTCGTCCATTTAACCAATTACAGATCCACCGCACCGTAGTTTTGCCTAGCCCACATTGGACTAGTTTCCTTGCCAGAAGGTCATGGGGGACCTTGTCGAAGGCCTTACTGAAATCCACGGCATTTCCCGCATCTACCCAGCTTGTAACTCTATCGAAAAAAGAGATCAGATTAGTCTGACATGACCAGACTATCACCAACAGGTACACATTTTCTTTTTTATAAACTGGCTAATGGTACCTGAACATGGTGAGTCCAAACACTTACAGAAACCACCTCAATGCTAAACATTGTATCTATCTTAATCTAGTCCGATCCTACACAAGGTGGCTGTCATAAAATCAGTGCCAAAGAGAAATGGCCATTCACAAAGCAGGCATTGTACTAAGCACATCTACGCACAATATCTATTTTACAGAAAGGAAGACTGGGGTGTCAAAAAAACCACAAGCCACTCATTTCAAAATCTGCCTACAAGGCAGTATATAAATCACACCTTCAAACCCATACTGTTCTCTCACTATACTCAAGAACAGGCATGGGCAAACTTTGGTTCTCTCAGCTGTTTGGAACTGTGGGAGCTGAAGTCCAAAACACCTGGAGGGCCAAAGTTTGCCCATGCCTGCTCAAGACCCACAAAAATGTACTCTTCCTTCAAAATCACCACTCTCCACAAAATGCTCCCTGCCTGTCATAACCCCTTAAACACACACATATGCAGCTCATTCACTCAGAGATACTATATACCCCATTAATCCGTTATATAATATACACATATACATCCTATACATCTATCTCCAAAGTCACTTTCCTGTCTCCTTCCTTGCGGCTTTTCCAATCAATATCTACAGCTTTCAACCTTTGGCTTGCTATGATCCCTTTTTTTAACTCTACAGATTTACCGTAATGTCACTGTAAATCAGAAACAACAAAATTGTCTGAAATGCAGAGAGAATTGCAATTCAAATATCCCACCTTAACTTAAAACATCTTAAAAGCTGTCAACAATATCTCCATCATAATGTTATTTAGCACCATGTCAACTACTACTCTATATGAAGGGAAGAACCAAAGAACTACATCTGCATACATAATGTAGGTTGAAAATTTAAAGTATAAATGAATGCTAAAAGTAAAGCAAACACATTAAGTTTTAAGACAGCGATACTATGTTAACTGTCAGAGGGAAACAATTCCAGTATTTGAAATATTATAAATAATAATAATAATAATAAAACTTTATTTATATACCAACCTATCTCCCCTAGGGGACTCAGAGAAGTTTCCACATATGCAAAATAATACAAAAACATACAATATAAAACAAAAACATAGGCATATCATGTTAATACAACATATACATTAAAATCAATGTAAAACCAGTTCGGCTCTCTTCTTCATGCAAGGTAAGCTGGCAGGGGCAAAGATTTAAATAAGGGGCCTGGACTATTTGGAACGGGCTGGGCCAAGGCTAGTGCAAGGAGAAGGGGAAAATGGGGCTGGCTGAATGCTACAGTGCAAAGATTGGTCTCAGCAATGGCCCTACTAGGGGACTGGGGCCACTCAATTCCAGGGCCAATTAAAGGACTATAAAAAAGGTCTGGGCTAGAAAAAAGGTTCCCTCAGATGACAGCGAACTGACTGGGTTCAAGGCCAAGTCCTAACTGTTGTACCAAGGGCTTGAGACTTGAGACTAGTCATTATCGAAGGCCTGATGAAACCACCAAGTCTTCAAGTTCTTATGGAAGGAGGTGAGGGATGAGGACAGTATTGAACAATTACATAATACAATTTCTCAAGCTGTAACATCTAATATTACATAATTCAGCAGAATACTCAAGATATGAATTTTCATGGAATATTGCCCACTTCATCAGATGTATGAAAAAAATGTTATCCAGTTTCAAATAAAAAAATTGCTATGAAGATAGGTCTGAAACTAAATGGACATATCAAAACCCAAAATAAGTCTGAGGAAGACATGCCATTATTAGCAGAAAATTCTTCATAAACACACAAGGAAATCTGCTGGGTCAGACCAAAGGCCTATCCAGTTCACCATTGTGTTTCCATGGATGATGTGGTCATTAATAGCTGCTAGTCTAGGTTTTGTGTCACTACCATTCACTGCAGTATGCTGTTGTGTATCAGGTGCTGAAGGGTGTGAAATGTAGTGCCTATTTGGACTCATATTCTGCAGACTCCCCAGAGACAACTGACTGGTTACTGTGTGATGTTGGACGAGGTAGATCAACATTGACTCTTCTTGTTTAGCTTCAGGAGCTTTTGTTCAATGTCATAAGCTTTTTCTTAAAAGAAAGGATCATTTGTCACATCAACACTTCACAGTTTATCTCACAAGATGGCAACCTTTAGCAGCAGAGAATATTCACGTTTAACATGTTCACTTGTCAGCTTCCAAGTTCTCATCCTATTCACTGGAGAATTTAGGTTCTCCAGTGATTTTAAATGTGGATATATAAATTCAATTGAAGACATTCAAGTATATACAGGTCAAGAAAGGTTTCATCTTTAGCCAGGAAAGATTCCTATGGAGCTTTTTTTTCTACAATAGGGTGTAAACATGAGATTCTGGCCAGCTTCTAATTTTTCTAATGTAATTTTATACTCCATACTTAAATTCCCCTTGCAGTTTTGAGCTAGATATGGTATTTGTCACTTTTCCGCTAAAATACAGCTGAAGTATGCAATGCATAACAAACATATGAAGTCACAAAGACATTCTGACATTTGTTTCAAATATATTTTAGTTGTGTCAAAATGTGAACTGTTCTGGTAAGTATCAACTCAGAGACGGGCCAATTTACAATTGTTTTGATCCAATTCCAACATAACTTTACAATAGCTATGGAACCTGATCATAAACTTACAAAAATACAAATGGAATTTTCTAATTCATTCTGCTTCTTTCAGAGATTAAGCATATATGACTTTCTGAGTGCTTGAGTTCATACACATTTGAGGTTTTACAGCATTAAGTATAGAAATTAGTATCAGTCTTTCTTTTAAACTTTTATGCATTTGAAAGATGCATGCATTTTATACACAATCCTCCTTAGGCCAAAATATTACAGATTATTAAATTACTGTATACAAACTTTTCATCAAAATGAAAAGATCTTTTTAAAAATTTTAATCACTGCTAAATTTTATCTTAGACAAAAAGGGTCAAGGAAATGAATTATCAATTTTGGTAATTAAAAAATAAAACCAAAAAGACCCACTGAATAAGTCATGACCTTATATAAAAGCTACTTCATCAGCAGTAATCACTTAATTTTATATAGTCATTTTTATGATAGTAGGAGGTATGATGCAGTTGCTGGTTTCTCTTTTTAAGTCTCTAGCTATTGCTCAGCTATTTTGTTCTGCAGGGGAGTTTTAGAAGTCGAAGAGATGATCTAAAACTTTGAAGCATCCACAGAATAAAGATCAAACCAATTATACCATAAGGAATAGTTCCCTTTATAAAAAAGCATACAACCTTTCAGGTCAAAATGTCAGGATGGAACATGGTAACAAGAATAGCAAATGATGATATTTATAGTTGAAGAAGCACCATACATATTAATGCACAAGGATTGATAGTTATTCAATAGTCCAAAGAGGAGATTTTCAAAATAATCCATGCATTACTGGATTTGCATAGGCAGAGTGTCTTTATGACCTTGCTCAAATTCCTGGTTTTGCAACTCATATACACATTTAAAAGACAAAGCCACTCAAGTTAATAGTAATGCACTACAGAATTTAGTTCCATACTCACCTGGTAAGCTCTATTGATTTGGTTTGCAGCCCAACTAGCATACTTCATATTGTCCTTTTTCATTTTTGCACTTGCCTTGGAATTTGAAGCAATGTGGCTGGCAGACTAGAATAGGGAGGAAAAGATAGTAATTGAATCTTGAACAATAAAAGGTTGCATTAAAAACAGAACTGTGTAAAAGGAATGTCAAAAGACATCACCTACTCCTCTGAAATTAAATAAGAATTCAACAACAATTTTTAAAAAAGGATTTCATTCTGATACACAACAACACTTAGTACATATGGTGGTGAATCAGGATTCAATGGGCATCAGCAACTAAGTCCTGCATTTCTCTGTTTTTATGCTTCACAGCTAACATCTTCTAACGCCACATGGCAAACCATTTGTGAAACTCCAGGGAATTCCTAAGTCACTTTCCAATAAAGGAGAGGGATCTGCTGTAAACCTCAAGGAATATCACAAACAGCTACTTTGGATAGCAGCCATTGCTATAGTAACAATTCGGGAACCCTGGAGGCAATATATTTAAAAACGAAGGCCTGGCTGTGCATAAAAATCACATTATTTCACTTACAAATCCTCAAATATAGGACGTTAGGACAACTTCAAAGTAAGAATTGCTGTTAACATACCCAGAGCAAGAATGATCACGTTTCTAGAACATGCTAACATTTAGACAGCACATCCTGACTGCTGATTCTATGGGAATTTTTATTTGATTTGGCAGCATGAAAGAATCTCAAGCCTTGTCAACAGATAGTAAAGCATGGATCACAAACGACCTTGAGAGGAAAAGGTTTTGTCTGTAATTTCATAAAACTACAGGTCAGTATTTGATCTTCTTCCACGCCCATCAATAAAAATAGACTGTGCTTTAATCATACACATTTTTTATAAATTCCAGAACACTGGTGTTTAAGAAGTGTTAACAGAAATTTGTAGCGCTATTTTTAAAAGCTGCAAATCAGGATCAAAATCCCCAAAACATCATATTTTAAAGCTTTCTTGAAATACGTAAGTTTTAAAGACAATTGTTAAACCCAACTAAAAGTAGACTAATTAAATTAATGCATCTTACAAAACAGCTGAACCAACGTGTACATTCTACTTGGGAGTAACAACTGAATTCATCACAAAGTGTTTTAATGTAATCTTTGCAATTTACCAACTATATGAGTGTGTTTTAGCAATGGAGAACAAATAGAACACTAAGAAGACTAGATAGCTACACCAGATCTACCTCTGCAGGAGTAATAAACGTTGGAACTTCTTTAAAACCTCAATCTAGAAAGTACCGCGTGTCCCAAAAATCCCTTAATGTTTCTCCAATAACTGCAAAAAGGTAACACTTGTATCTCCAAAATACTCAAACCAGGACCTAGTTGGATAAATCCACTGGGAACCTGCATCTTCAAAGAGATATGGATTGAGTTATCCTTCATCTCAAATGCTTCTGGATGAGTTACATGCCTCCTGAAAGACTGTGTTCACAGCTTGGGAGTACTCCTGGATCCATCTCCCCAAATATTAGCCCAGATAAATGTGATGATCAGGAGCGTTTACTACCAGCTTTAGCTGATACGCCAGCTGTGTCACTTGCTATAATCAGGAACTAAAGACAGCAGTGCACACGCTGGCAGCCTCAAGATCGGACTTCGGCAGTGTGCTTTAAATTGAGCTACCTCTGTACCAAATTGGGAAATTCCACTATTAGTTCAAAACACTGCCACCAGATTGGTCGCAGGAGCCTTCAGGAACGAGCAAATCATACCCATAGTAATGTCACTCCACTGGTTGTCAATTAGTTTCCTGGCAAAGTACAAAGTATTGGTTTTGACCTTTAAAGCCCTACATGGGTCCATGTTATCTACAGGATCATCTTCTCCCGTACAATCCACCATAAACAATTGGGTCCTCTGGTGGACAGCTACTCCAGCCTGCCAGAATCCAACCGGTAACCGCCACCCAGAGGATCTTTTCATCAGCCGCCCCAAGACTACTGAATGACTTGCCAGAAGAGCTTTGACAACTAAATCAGCTGTCGGAATTTAAGACTCAGCTAATTACTCATCTCCTCCAACAAGCCTACTCAGTCAATTTTAAGTTGTGAATTTTAATCTGCATTTCATCAGTGGATTTTAACTTGTATTTAACTGTGTATTTTGTTCTCTGTGTTTTGTTATTGTTGTTCATTTGATCAGTCACTTCTGACTTTTTGTGACCTCATGGACCAGCCCACGCCAGAGCTCCCTGTCGGCAGTCACCACCCCCAGCTCCTTCAAGGTCAAGCCAGTCACTTTAAGGATGCCATCCATCCATCTGGCCCTTGGTTGGCCCCTCTTCCTTTTTCCTTCCATTTTCCCCAGCATAATTGTCTTCTCTAAGCTTTCCTGTCTTTCATTGTGGCCAAAATGCTTCATCTTTGCATCTAATATCCTTCTCTTCAATGAGCAGTCAGGCTTTATTTCCTGAAGTATGACCTGGTTTGATCTTCTCACTGTCCAAGGCACTCTCAGAACTTTCCTCCAACACCACAGTTCAAAAGCATCTATCTTCCTTCGCTCAGCCTTCCCTATGATCCAAATCTCACATCCGTAGGTGGCTACGGGGAATACCATTGCTTTTACTATGCGGATCTTTGTTGCCAGTGTGATGTCTCTACTCTTCACTATTTTATCGATATTGGTCATTGCTCTCCTCCCAAGAAGTAAGCGTCTTCTGATTTCCTGGCTGCAGTCTGCATCTGCAGTAATTTTTGCACCTAGAAATACAAAGTATGTCACTGTCTCCACGTTTTCTCCCTCTATTTGCCAGTTATCAATCATTCTTGTTGCCATAATCTTGGTTTTTTGATGTTTAGCTGCAACCCAGCTTTTGCACTTTCTTCTTTCACCTTGATTAGAAGGCTCCTCAGCTCCTCCTCGCTTTTGCCCATCAAAGTGGTATCATCTGCATATCTAAGGTTGTTAATGTTTCTTCCAGAAATTTTCACCCCAGCCTTGCATTCCTCAAGCCCCGCACATCACATGATGTGTTCTGCATGCAAGTTGAATAGGTTGGGTGAGAGTATACAACCCTGCTGTACGCCTTTCCCAATCTTGAACCAGTCTGTTGTTCCATGGTCAGTTCTTACTGTTGCTACTTGGTTCTTATACAGATGCCTCAGGAAAGAGGCAAGGTGATTTGGTATGCCTATATTACCAAGAACTTGCCACAATTTATTATGATCAATAAAACAGAAATAGATGTTTTTCTGAAACTCCCTGCCTTTCTCCATTACCCAGCAGATATTGGCAATTTGGTCTCTCGTTCCTCTGCCTTTTCTAAAGTGCCTTATCTCTTGTTTTAGTGATGTTATACCCTGGCTCAAGTCGTGAATAATCAAATATTGACTGACAAATGAAAAGGAAGCTCTAGCAATTCAATATTAGGAAGGAAAGTTCTGATTATCTGTGCTCCACATCCCTTGCCCTGCCTCTGTTCCCAATTTTTAGGGCCTTGTTTCACTATTTTCACAATAAGAGGTTACTGTGATGATATTTTAAATACATTTTTCTAAGAAACAAGCCTACCATCACGCAGACAAACAAAAACATATAGGAAGAGATGAGTTACACCAAAAAGACGATATCCGCCACACCACAAAAACAAGCTTTTCTTAATACAAAACACTAACCTACAACAACAAACCTCAATCTAAAACAATCATTCTAAGAACTACAACCTCACAACCCCTCTATTAAACACATACAACTATAAAAATTAATCTATAAGCTCCACACGTTAATTTTAATTTCTCATTTTTCTATTTTTTAAAAAAATATATATCACTATATACTTCTAATTTTAATAACACTATTCTAAATCAGAAAACCAATAGTAGAATTTTGTCCATCTCTGCAGTAAAATGGTAATGAATTTCTATAAAGATTTCAGTGTAAGAATACTGTACTTAAAACATAAACACACATCTATTTTGCTCTAATAAATCAAGAGTGGTGCACAAATACTACAATACTTTTTTTCTCTACAACAGAGCCACCATATAAGTAAAGATAGTTATTTCTTCCCTATGTTGGGAAGTTCTGGAAGTCAGAAGAAGTTTGTTTTTTTCCTAATAGATCATTTTGGGTGTAATCACTCTGAAAATCTGCAAAATATCTACAATTCATTAGTAGGTATAATTATTACTTAGAATTATGTTAGAAATATAATATCAATCAATCAATCACACATCATGCCAATCAAGGCTGAAAAAGCTGTCGGCAAGACATAATTAATTATAAAAACAGAGACAGGAAACAGGAATTTATTAACATTAAATAAATCTAGCACATAGCTAGGGAGAACTGGCCCAAACTAGATTCATGAAATAGATTTATTAATCTCCCCCATGAGCTTAGCAAAATTCCCCTTTTCAAAACACCCCCTCTATTTTTTTGCCCAAAGTTCAGCATTAAATTGAATTATTTTAGGATAAAAATTAAAACACCTTCAGACTCACCATGTAAAGTCCAAACAATGCTCTCATATTTCGGTTGTTCAGCTTCAATGCTTGTGAAAAGTATTTTCTTGATAATTCAAGGTTTTCAAGACCTCCTTGTGTATATTTAACCTGTTGTAAATGTATGATTGGCAAGAAAGTTTTACTTTAACATACTTTTTTATCATAACATTTTGAAAAGTTCCGAGACATTCATCATAAATCTCAAAAATGGAAACAAGTTGGGTATTTTCCCTCCCACAATGAAAATGGTACCAGACTAATACAGCTTGAATTGTTCCTTTAAAATATGTGAGATATTTGATATGCAATTCAAGCATTCCTTCCAGCCCCAAAAGAACTCTCTTGAGATACACATATTGAAAGACAAGTTCTGACTGGGAAAAGAAAACTCAGCCAGATGTACTAGGAGGAGGAAGGCTGATTCAAGTGTGGCAAAGGAACATGAGTGGCAGCTGCAGTACTATCCAGTGGGCAAATGCTGTGGACAACATAGTTTGCCAACTTGCAAGCCATGCAGGCCAACTGGTCGCTGCCCAAAATGTTCTGAAGCACTCACCTCTGCAAACTGCTGGCAATATAAGTGGTTATGAGGGTTAGTCATCATGAGCTCCTCTAAGCAAAAGGCTGCTTTTGCATAGCTGAAAAAGGAATCAAGAAAGCAGAAGTTAAAATGGAGGAAAAGAGCATGAGTTTTCTCTGATCTGATTAACTGTGTTTTTTTTTAGTTTACAAGTAAGTTCTAAGTTATGGTGACCCTAAGCTGAAGCTACCATGAATTGCTTCAGAAGTGAGCTGCCTTTGTATTCCTCAGAGGCTAAGAAAGTGTGACTTGTCCAAGATCACCCAGTGGGTTTTCATGGCTGAATGGGGATTCAGAGGCCTATCTAGTCCACCATTGAGTTTTCACAAGATGGATGATCGATTCAAACTCTGGTCCCCAGTCAATAGTTCAAACTACTACACCACAGAGATCTGGTTATTTTCTTAAAATTTCAAACATTTTAGAATTTCTACACTAAAAAATGTGGGCTTGTAGGAATGCATACATTAACATTTTACAGAAAGTGAAAAAGCAAAGTTACAAGGAACCCAGCTGTTCCGTTTCAATTTTTTGAATATTAATATGCAAAGAGAGACTTGTAAATGGAACTACAAGCAAAATACAAGATTTTGGAAGCCACCTGGGGTTCACAATCTCACTGAAGATGAGTTTCTTAAGTCCCATTCTGCACATTATAGGAGAAGGGGGAAAAGGACTAATGAAATTGAAACCTATTCAAACCCCTCTCCCACACACACAGTTAAAACACCCCATGGAGAAAAATAACAAAACTTTAAGGTATCTTCTGGTACTTTGTAAGACTTAACAGGTTAATTTTAGCATGTAGCATGAGCTCTGGAGGATTACAATCCATGAAACCTTATGCCAAAAGAATCTGTTATTTTTATAAAGGTGTCATCTCTCGCCTCCCCTCTGTTACAGTGAAAATAGACTAACACGTCTATTCCTTTAAAAATGTGGAGAAAGAGTCAGTATGAACTAGTCTAAGCAGAGACAGCGAACACAGATTCCTGCAAATATAGCAGTTGAAAAAGGGATATATTGACTGAAAAGCTGCTGACAGATATGTCCATCTGCAGATAATTTCACAATATTTCTCAGTATGATCTCACATCCCCGACTTTCATGGTGTAGTTTGCATGGCATGCAAAAAAGCAATTGACACTTTAAGTATAATCGTGCGTGTGTGTATTACATGCACATGCACACACATGTGCACCTATACACACACACACAAATAAAAGTTCATTCAGAAGACAGGCATTGATAGATGTGTGACAATTGTAACTCCAAATTGTAACAGAAAAGGCTTTGTCCAACAAAACACTTACTTTAAGCTTCCATATCTGAACCATTCACTGCATCATTCATAAAAGATCAAAACAAAGCCTCTATTCTTTCACAATGCATCTGAACACTTCCTCAGCAACAATGTCTCTATTTTCCAATGTACCAACTTAACACATTTAGGTAATCTTTTTTTTAAAAAAATAAATTATATTTGTGGAAGCCCCCTCAACTACTCTCCATATTGTTCCAGAGGGGGCTCTAATTTTTTTAGAGGAGATCTAATGTCTTGGGGATACAAGTCCCAGCTATACAGAAGAAGTATCTGCATAGAAAAAATCAATAAATGAGGAAGAGTGAAATCACTCTTCTGCAAGTCACACAGATAGCTACTTGCATTCGTATTATGGTATTGGGAATTAGATTGGAAAACCCATATAGTTCACTTCTGTTGAATTGGCTTTTAGTTTCACTGCAGATAATGAACCCTTGAATGTGTTTAAAATGATTATATATGTTGTGTATTTATATGTTGTTATTCCCCACTTCAATCCACGGGGAGAAGTGGGTAAAAAAGTACTTTCTCATCATCTTCATCATCATCTCAGACAGAAGCCATTTCAAATCTGATGTCTCACTAATACTTTATAGCAGAATCTTCATCAGTGAGTAGGGCCAACTATATTAGCTGATGTTCACTACAGTCCAAAATATAAAGAAAGCACCAGTTCAAGGAAGGCTGAGGATGAACAATTAAATCCCCACATGCAAAAATTAGTGGTTCTAATTTTAGCACTCCTTTTCAAACTGACATTTTAATGGACAACAGAACTGTACTACTTTAATTTGTATTTTTTAATCATTATACCGTATTACTGACTGAATCTCTAACATTAGAAATCTAGCATGGGTCATTCAAATTCTCAGTAGAGAATGTAAATAGAAACATGGATATTATTCCAAAGCAGTCTAGTATAACTACACAAAAAGTAAGTGATTATTCACTATAGAAAATAGGATTGGGATCTATCTATGTGTCTATTATTAAATGCATTTTCTTTTTAAAATATTTATGTTTTTCAAATAGGTGATTCAGTTAGCATTCAATACATCAAAAAACTATTTAGCTACACGTTTCCAGTTGATTATATTCAACCTTATGCTCAATTACATTTTTGTCTATTTTCTACAAGACTAAATGAGTGGTTTTTAAATATGGTTACACTGTATGTAAACTTTAGTACCATCTTAGATAATTGATGCTAAAGATCTGCAAAAAGAACTTACATTGTTTGAACTTTGATAAATGTTTTTTTCATAATCATAAAAGTAATTATTACCATTAGAAAAGATCCATACGGAAAATATTACTTAAGCACACAAAGTATTTATGGAAGAATGGAAAGCTTTTCAATGTTCTTAGAATTGACTAAAGATAATATAGTATCTTCCTAGTAAACAAAGTAAATGCCTCTTCTTCAACTTAGCACAGGAAATAAAATTCACACACACATTGAGAGAGCTAAATCTATTTTAAACTCCAACTACAGCAGACATGCCTAAACCAATGGCACTATCCAAATGACGATTAACAAATCTTACAACTCCCAGTGGGTCTAATACTAATTTGGACTAAGACTACATTCAGTTCTTGGGGCCTAGAAATAAATGTATAGACACACTGCCATCTCTTTCATTTAATGTCCTATTGGCAAGATAAACTCATCTTGTCATGATGGAAACCATAACAATTTAAACCCCTTACCTAGATATTCAAGGAATGTCTTATTTCCTTCAAGACAAACATTTGCAGTTAATTCATTTTCTGCACACGTGCATACTGAAAAGTCAGTATAACTACTAACGAATATATTTTGCAGCTAAATAGATCCTTTATACTATTAAAAATCAAAATTAAAAGCTTTTATCTGAAAATCTGGAAGGTGAAATTAGTTATGATTTATTTATTTCCTTCATTTCTATCCCGCCTTTCTCGACCTGAGAGGGGACTCAAGAAGGCTTACAAATCTGGCAAAAATTCAATGCAGCACAGGTAAACAATAAAACACATCTTGTAAAACAATCTAAGCATAATTGACCAATGCGATATTTTTATTATTCTTTCTCTGTGACATCTCCCTCTCGCCTCTCCTTTTTGTGGTACCCAATGGAAATGGGTACCTTCTCCTAAGATACTCGTTATTTTCTTGTTCTCTGAAAGGACAGGAAGGAAGGAAGGAAGCAAGAAAACTAGTACGATTTAGGTCTGGCTCAAAAAACAAAGGTGGTGGCAGGGTGGGGAAGGAAGCCTGCAAAAATCTGCCTTGAAATAAAGATTACAATTAATACCATGATATTAGAAAACTTGAACCAAAGCTTTTGAGCTAATCCACTCACACTGGGATTTCCTCTTGTCACTAAAGCAATAAAAAGCTGACAAAAACATTAAATATACAATAAGAAAATTCCTACAACACTCAGCATTCTTGACTGAATGCAGTCTTTTGCCCTGGAGACCATACAGCCTCATTGAAAAGGCTTTTTTCCTTTACTATTTTCTTAATATATACTCTATATTGTGTCTTTAATATACCTCCTCACAGAAGAAAACTCCCATTCTTCAAATGCAGTTCACAGATGGCGTTTCTTAATTCTGGAATATTTGTAATTGCAATCTAGCAAAATAAACTAGATGTTTGTTCAAAATATTTGTTCAAAATATGTCTGCTTAAAGGAACTTTGAAAAACAGTGAAATGTATTTCTACAAGCAATCTAGAAATAAAAGTTGACTCTCTTAAATTTATATATATATGAGAGAGAGAATGGATCTGGCAACTACAATGAAATAGTGTGTGTGTGTGTGTGTGTGTGTGTGTGTGTGTGTGTGTGTGTATATATATATATATATATATATATATATATATATATAGCTTGTCTCACTGAAGTAAAATAGGCTTTCTCCAACAAATACTTTAAGAAAACAGTCCCAAGGGTCTCTTTTTCGCATGTAAAAACCACACAAATCCCCACCATCCTTTGTAAAATGTGTTCCATAAATAACGTACTCATGTTCATTGATGTAAAGTTCTGCAAGTTCATGCCAGGCTTCTTGGTCACCAACAAATCTATCCAAAGAAAAGGAGAGGATAAGCCTTTTTTATTTTAAAAGAAAGATTCTGTAAAATGAACAGCAAAGAAATACATCAAATGTAAATTCCATTTTAATTAAAAAGATTTATTAGAAGTAAAAAACACAATATGCATTCTTATAAAACACTCACTGTTCCAGATACTCGTTCAGCTCTCGGATGGCTTCAGCATTTTTCCCTTGGGCTTTTCGAATGGCAATTTTGCGCTTTCTTGCCGCCTGAGGGTTGAAATTAACAGAGGATTATGTGCACATAATTCCCTGGCTATTTGTGAAAAAGGCATTTTGACTGTGTAAATTATTATCTCAGTGCCAGAACAATTCTACTGCTGAGCAACTACTCAGCTGGAGTTTATAAATATACTCTCTGATAGCCTGCTGAGTGATTTAAAAACTCTTCAAGCTATCACATTACTTTTTACTTTTTATGTGCAAACTGTATGCATAATTTCATCCAAATAAGTGGCTGTCCAGATTCTGATAATTACAAAGCAGTGGGGATCCCAATCTTCATCAAGTCCAGCGTCTACCAGTGTGGCATTCATATGCACTCCCCTCTTTCTCTCTCGCAGTCTACCAGTCACTGGAGTTTTGGAAAGTCAGATATATCCCATGTTGTTTGCATTAAGGAGAACTTTTAAGAGAATTATTACATGACTCTCAAATTAGAAATCCGTTTTTTAAAAGCAGACTTTTTCAAGTGTCGTACTGACCATACAAAAAAGATGGGCACAAGCTGCACAAATGACTCCTGGCAGTTTAACAAGCTTTAGGAAAAATCGGGTTAAACAGTAAGTTGTCTGGCATCAGGTTCCGCTGAATTAACAATGCTATAATAAGAAAATAAATTAAAATATATACCCTAGGAACTTTAGTTTGAGAGTACAAGCACTAGCCAAATTTACCAAGCCAAATGATCCTGCTTATAAAACCCATACAAACAAACAAATTGCATTTTTCAGCCACAGAACAGATAGTTCATCACCATGACAGAGACTCTTTCTTTCCACCTCTGAATGCCATTCCTTCAGAAACACACAAGGAGGGCCTCCTCAAATGGTTTGGAATTAGAATTTCCAGCGGCTGCTGCTCTATTTGTAAACCACCGTATTCCCACACAACAGACGCTATTCACAGTCCTAAGCCTCTAACTAAGGGAAACATTATATCCTTTTCTAGAGCACATGTATCAACTGATCGTTATCTGGTGCTAACCCCAACCCGACATTCGATCGGAGAACTACAAAGCTGGTGGAGAGCGAGCAATACCTAATTCTAAGGTCACCTGTATCAAGCAGTGCGTGGAATTCCTTGCTCTACAAGCAACTTTAATGAATTCTAGAAATCTGAAATGTCCATTAGCTATTCAAACAACATTTTAAACATATATTTTTAAAAAAATATGGACCTCTGAGAAATTTGTGAAATGACGCTACTGCTAACTATAAAAAATGAACACTGCTTCCAAGTTTCATTTGATGTATTTTAGCTCACAGTGTCAGTTCCCAAGTTTAATACTAAAAACAACAACAACCAAGTTCAATATATCTAAAATTCTTAATTTGGTAAAACAGAACTGATATAATCAAGAAACTTCACTGGATTTCCTTAACTGGCTACCACATTACTCTGCCCGACTCCCCAACCTGTTTCCATCATCAGGTTTTCAAAAGCTAGATTTAGTTATCTACTAAACTTAGCAAAAGCACAAGAATCTGCATCAGAGAACTGAATATATACTGCTCAATGATCACATACCATCTTTCCTTCCAGCACTGAATGGAAATATTCATGCCTCTTACTGGAAGCCAAAGCTGTCTATGAACAACATTGTGCTTCCTTCTCACCTCTCTTTTTTCTTATATAGTACTGTTCAGGACAAACGGTTTGCTTTTTTAAAAAACTGTCACCACCAAGATTACTTTTTCTCTAGACCAATCTGAAGCAATGCATACTGTGATTCTGTTCTGGTCCAATTTGGTTTTGAAATTGGCAGAGACAGCTGCACGATACTTTAAAATACTGATTGACAGATTTAGATAGTCAAAGCCACACGATACACTGATTTTCTATGGGAAAAGCAAATCACCATGCTGGAAAAATTCTAAGTGGTATAAACACACGAATTCCACTGAAAATACATGGTTAAGTAAGCATTGTACTATCCCCATAGTTGCAAGGAAATACATACTACTGTTACTATACTATACTATAAACACATTGAAGTTAAACTATTTGAGTGGGAAATAATTTCGGACTCAGTCTTCAACTAGCATTTCAAACTACAAGTTTAGTACTCAAACTACAATCTTTTTTACATCATGGTGAGTTTCAGAAGAAACTAAAATAGAAAGATCATAATGTTATACAACACATAAAACAAACTTGCTCCAGCCTCCCATAACTACACCCTTTTCAAGCTAAGTGTAAAATACAAAACACAAGATTCTCACTCATTTTTGCAATTATTATTATTATTCACTTCACTTGTAAACCACTTTTCTCATCCCAGCGGGGGGACTAAAATTGGTTTCCAATGTTACTATGATAAAATGTAATGTCTCACAAACAGAAATCTAACATAACAATAATAATATACAATTATAAATTAAATAATAAACATGTAAATATTGTGGGAACAAATCTGTCATGAAATCATATTAAGATAAAGTTTTAATTCTTCTGGTTTTATGAAACAATCTCTTTCAGTATGGGGATGTAAGAAGTGTATGTATGTAGTTAAAATTAGTCATAAAATTATTCAAGATGAAAGCTTGCTTGTTCATAGTACAACTGATTGATGGAACAATAAGTAAGAAGTCCTCTTCTCTTAAATGCACAAGAAATATACTATACACAGGGTAGTAATAATGCCCAAAAGTGTTTGGAATTCTTTTTAAACAAGAGATTCTTGAGAACTAGCTTGACATACAAGAGGGATTTTCCCCTTTTCATTGAAAAAGTATTTCAGGTCTTGGTCAAAATGTGTCTGCAATCAGATACGTTTTGCTTGACCATGCAGAACTGGTGACATGGAATTTTCCCCCTATCCATTTCCCAGCATTCAGAACAAAACTCTATAGAGATTACTAGCTGGCCCTGTAAAGCCATCATTCTTAATGGAAAGATATAGGTCATCTTAAAGAAACACTTACGTTATAATCAGTATCAAATGAGCCAAAGTACTTTAGCATGGACCAATTTCTTTATTAAACAATGAACTGTTCCAAGCTATACCTTTTAAATGGGCTAGTAATCCTCAATTTGGCTCAAGAACTAATCCTCCATTTGTCATGGTTTTTTTAAAAAAATAAAATAAAATTAGCACTAAGTAGACTCAAAGTGGATTTGAGCATGTGTCAACTTCTGAATTTCATTAGTAAGAGACACTGATACATTGCTTGGAGGGGAAGAATACTTAGTAGGAGACAAATTTTCCGAAGTTATGAGTCTTGTCAGTAAAAAAAAAACCCTCCAGTTTAGAACCAGTTTTCACAAGATTAAGAAGCTCTCTTGAAGTATTTTTTTAAACTAATAAAATGATGGTTTTTGGTGAAGATCATTGGTCCCCTGTACCATTATGCCACAATTCAGTAGTCACAGTGGGTTATGAAATCAAGAGAAAGGATTCCAGTTTACCAAACCATCAGCACACATCAGGCTTCACTGCATTTATGGTTGTAGTCTTCCTGCCTGCCTATCATTATATTTTATAGGAAAAATGGGATTTGGAGATTGCCTGTGGAAAAGATTCTCACAACTCTCTCCTGTTTTGTCAAATTTCAATCCCATTAATTCAATTTCTGACACTGTAACTGAAACTGAACTACAGGATATGTCTGTAATCGTAAAATGACCTACATCAAATGAAGGGGTGCACATAGATGCACATTACTGAAGTAAAGCACTGGACTAAATTTTTGACATTTTGTTTTAGTTACACACATATATGACCACTTCTTCATTACAGAAATAGACTGCTCTTGATTCTAGGCAGCTACAGATTTGATATCAGATGATAAATGTAATTTCAAAAAGTCATCACAAAGCTCATGCGCAATTCATGCACAAATTTTCTTCTATTACAAAATCAGCACTTATTAAGCCCCAAAGTCCTGAAATGATGACAGCAAGATGATTATTTCTTTTCAAAGCAACTTCAGACTGTCTGAAGAGGTAGAATGATTGTGGTTCCTGATTCTGAAGTCCATAAGGACAAATGCAAGCCTAATTTCCTCTCATGCACTCTGTTTTCTATGATATGATTCACTTTCATAACTGATTTTCATCTGCTTTCTTCCATTACACAGAATTATTTTCTGGAGAAGGCTTTAAACGCAAGTAAAGATATAAAGTACAAATCTATAAGGCACACATCAAGAGCTTGGAGAAAGAGATGAATTCCTGACCAAGGATTCAACTGCTGAGGCTAATGGACTATAACAGAATCTGGCCACGCATGAGACACATTGCTCAGAATTGCTTTTCACTTCACATCAAGGCTATATTACATAGTATATGGACTATGATTTTTACATGCCCCATTTTTAATTTAGGGTTTCAAGTATTCCTTTTCATATGATTTTTCAAAAAAACCCGAATCTACTTTAACATCTCTTTTGCCCATTAAAATGTTTCTCCCATCCACATTTCACAGCTTCAGCGTGTAACAATGACTGGCACTAAGATGCACTTTTCTATTACATAAGCGAAAATTTACAACTCTCGGTACACTAATGGAAAAAGCTGTTGGATATTAAACTTGTTTTTAATCCTTATGCAGCCCCTATCTTTCCTGTTTGAAACTGTCAGCTCCTGCAATGCGTGATTTTTACATGACTTACGTGAACAAAAGTCTATGTCTCACTTGCCAAACAAGAGAAAATGTTTAATATATCTAAGCAACTCCATGTGTCAGCACACCAGAAGAGACTGCTTTAAGCTCAAGTTAGTGCCAAGACAAACTCAGCAATAGTTTCAGTTTTAAACCATGAAGCATTTATTTTCCTACAGCAGCCATATGTGCACATGGAAATAATTAACAGGTAGATGACATATAAACAACTCCAATACCTGACAATTTATCAAAACTTTCTATTTAAACTTCATTCTTTAACTCAGAAAAACCAAAATAGCCACACTTCTTGCAGAAAAGGCATTTGCTCAACTTGCACAGTCTTTAAGAATTGTAAAAAAAAATAATTGTTCTGGTAGTTCATCACATAGTGGCACTCTTTTGAGTATTACTGCCTGGCAAATTTGAAATGTTTGTTCACAATGATGTGAATTGCCAAGATGAGGAACTGGGCTAATTTGTAAGAAAAAGAATGCAAAAATACAAAGGTCAGGGGCAACCTTCATATTATTAAAATGTGTTTAAAAGCATAAATCCTTAGTATCACTTTGACATTGCACTCTGTTACATTTTGTCTTGTTGGTGGAGAAAGATCAAATGTGAGGGAGGCAGAGAGGGACAAGCTCAATCTACATATGAGTAGACTTTATGTTTCTGGGCCATCCCAATAGTATGCTTTCTAATCAAACTAACTGTAAAGCTGAGAAAATCAGCTTGATCCATTTGATATAAATCAGTTTTGTGATCAACTAGGTATTTCACAGCAAAGCAAAAAGTAAATGTTAATCCAAAGTAACAACAGGACACCCTGTTACATAGAAGACAGCTGAAAAGAAATAATCATAATCTGAAGCTGAGTGGGTGAACATTTCATATCATATCCACTTTGTCATTATTTAGAGGAAACTAAAATAGGAGGAGAGAACTATATTTCAAATTCTGCGGTAGAGAATGCACAGTTCTGGAGAGGTTGAAAAAGCTTGTATTTCCAAATCTCCTATTCCAATCTAATAACTACACATAATAAAGAAGACTTTCAATGGCAAGCATTTTAAGGAGGCACTTCACAAAGACTCCTAGGAAGTTTCTGTCAGTGTTTTTAATGCCATGTGTAAATTCCTGCATGCTGTCAGGGACTATAGCAAGGGCACTCCTGAAATAATATGCTAAGCATTCAATTCCCTCTCAGGGCCACAACGGACCAGTCATACAGCAAAAACTTTCCTCTTGAAGATATTAAGGCAAAGGTCTTTCTCCATAACGTCTTTTTTTCTTTTTAAAGAATAATGTAGGAATGACCCTGGACTGTGGCACAAGGCTTAACCATTCCAACTATATGATAAAATAAAACAATGCAATGATTGTGGCCCTTTCCAACCACATCTTCCTTAAAATCCTGCATAGCTAAGGAAAAAGAAAGAAAGCCCTATTTCAGCCCCAGGGGGACAAGTGATCCTCAGAGCACCAGTCTCCATAACTTCTGTCAGGAAGCATGAAACCTGCACAAAAGTTGTATGGCAATATGTTATCATGTGGAAAACTTCAAGACAAAAAATAGCTCCATGCCATCTACATCCACCCAAGTCAACAAGCCTTTATGTTCAAAATCTCTTGAACATGTTCCACCTCTAGGGAAAACACACTGGCTTCCTCCCAACCTAGTAACAGGATGGATCAGAAATTCATAGAATCACAGAGTTGGAAGACACCACAGGAGCTATCTAATCCAACCCACTGACATGCAGGAAAATTGTGAGCATCTTCCTCCCTCTCTGTTGCTATAGTCTTCACTGTAATTTTGCCTGTTTTTAACAAAATAGCCTCCACATGTAACTGTTGTGTGAATACAACCAGTACCAGTATGCCATGTCTCCTTCATATATCATTTATTTTGTGCCAGATAGGGGCAACAATGTGTTCCCCAAATTTTGTGGCTGACATCTGTTGCATCTTGCATTTTTCACCTTCTCCTGAAATTACTTGACTCTCATTAACTAAGATACAGGATTTGACTATAAGCTGTACCTGAAGGAAGTTGGGACATGTGATTTTTGAGGCTGAAGTAAAAACTAGACTAGGCACATAGTTGTAGTGTAGCTGACACCCAGTCCTGTTTATTAAAAAGCCATAATCAATCAGCCATTCAACATCCACTGATGTCTTGGAAAGTTGATCAGATCAGAATAGTATCCAAGTAACGGTGAATATGAATATTTACAGGGATATCACTCATTTCACAGTGATCTTTGTAAAAATTCTTGAAGATGATATTATGCCAAAGGTTAACCACTTCTAGTAACTTGTTAACATCCTGATTCAGCTTTAAAATTACCCTGAAAGATCCCAGACAAGATTTCCTGTGCCATGAGAGATGCTATGAAGGAGGCTTGAATGCCAAGAAGATGACTTATGAGCCTTTCAAAACTGGCGCTTGCCATTCCAAATCTCCCAGCCTTATTAGAAAGGAAGAGGACTATGGTGTTCTTGAACTTAACCCAGGTTAACTATGATCAAAAGAAGAGGAAAGAAGAGTAGGTTTACAGGAATTGCTCTTCTAGAAGGAACCAAGAGCAAATCCACTCATATGATATCCAGCCTGTCTGAGTTAGACAGAAAATACTGTTGTATGATTATTGAGTTTCAGATTGTTTATTTCCAAAAATGACTCCAGACATCTACTTAAAGTTGTTATTCTTCCCTTGGAATTAAATGGACATGTGAAAGTGAAGAGGGGGTGCATGGAAGAGTGATAATATTCACACACTAATGACACTGTGACACCAATTGTAAAGTGATTCCTCCGAGGTGTCTAGAAGGACTGCAGCAGAGAATTTTAGACAAAATAGAAAACAACACATGAATCTGCAGGGAAAACTTTCTTTAACTTATCATGGTAACATGATAGTGAACAATAGTCAATGAACAAATTCTATCAGAAGTTACTATAGAGTTTAATTGGAGGATCTACCCTATAGAATTTGGTAGGTCTGACATCACAACTCTATGGTAACATCTGGCAGAGGCAGAACATTTCTAGTGATGACAAATTTTGTCCAATGGAAGTAGGTGAAACCATATGTAATTGTACCATAACACATTGTACTGTATTTTATTCAACTGCACTGATCTTTCTAGGAATTGAAAGACTCAGTGGTTCTGATGAATATTTTGGAGAACTGGAAGTTCTTGAAACTAGTGATGGGCAGATCTGTAGAACTAGATTTTGCTTAATTTCCCCAAAGGTACATTCAGTTCATCCTCCTTGGACTGATATTTACTTTTAGTCCATATCCACATAAACTTTTTTTCAAGAACTTTTTCAAAAGTTGCTTTTTTTGTAAATATTCTTAAAATGCATTTTATGGGAATGTTGCAAAACACATATATGAAATGCCACAAGAAATAAGGTAATGAATGAAATATTTGTATGTTTTTAGGGAAAAACACAAAAGTTTTGCAACTATTTGTTTTGTGAATTTATTTTTAGTTGCCTTTCCCGCAAAGTGCATCACAAACTTCCAGAAGTGTATAGGTTTTGATGGAAAACTTAGTATCACTTTGTGTTTATATTAGTTTATTTAGTTAAGTTCAGAATTAGATGAAAAGCAAATAAAATTTTGTCACATCTTATCAGAGTTATAACTGTGCTATATAATCCCAGTGGCAGAATACTGATGTGAACTTCACTGAACTACTTGACTCTCATATACAATATAAATTTGAAACCAGACTATTGGAAAGTTCATTAAAATATATTGTTCTTTTGATTGGCCTTTTGGAAATGAGAACATTTTATTAACATTAATGTTATGTGCTCAATAAGGAACAGTTTAGACATTACACAGACAAAACACAGTAAGATAAAGTCTTAAACAGCATAAAGTTTGTGTGAGAGAGGTGGACAGACAGAGCAATGTCTGGGCAAACTGATTAAATTTATTATATTTGATGAATTTTAAGCCACAAATCTGGAAAACACTAAAGTTACTTTTCCATTCAACTTACAGTATTAGTTGAATCTTCTTGTAAAATCCGATCATACAGCTGGATTGCATCGTCATACCTAGTGTAACACGTGAATAATAACAGGTGAATTCAGCAGAGTTTTGGAAAAGCCATGTACGTTCCTCACAACCCAGCAAGAAATACAGATATAGATTTAATATAATGCCAAGTTTTTAAACTTTGTGTTTTCTCAAATACATCACAACTGTACCCTGGGTTGCTCCTGATATGATAAATAAAGAAAGAAATATATGCTAAAGGAACATTCTAATTTTGACATAAATCTGCATCTGGTTCGTTAAACTACTTGGATTTGTATTCTGACACAACTGGGGCTGCTTTTGTGTGCGTAAATTTAAATCGTTGATCTTGGTTGTTTTAAAAACAAGACAACAAAAGAAAACAACAAACAAAATATTTTTGGTTTTAGTTTAAACCCTGTCAGCATTTTAAGTTGGATAATGAAGGGTGTGCGTACCAAGTTTGGTTTATTTCCATCAATTCATGTAGGAGCCTTTGAGGTACAAATATACACACATACACATTTTCACTTTTATAAATAAATCCGTGCATGGCTTTTTCTTCTATGACTTCAAACTCTCATAAGTTTCCTTAATGATGATTCAGTCAAGAGTGAGATATAAATACTAGGCCTGGGTAACAACAGAAAAATTTGTTTCTAAAATCGATTTGTATTTGGGGTTTTTTTGTTTCGATATTTAAAATAATTACAAAATTTTCTTTTTAAAAAGTTCGATATTTACGAAATTTCGTAAATGGTAAAAAATTAACGAATCGATTTCCGAAACAATAACGAATCGATTCGTTAATGGCGGACGCGACCGCGAAATACGCTAAAAAACCTCCAAAACCTTCTGAAGCTTCCCTCTCCCTCTGTTGTTGACTGTTGGTGTGATATTATAATTTATTTTCACTAATTAAACCATAAAACTGGCCCAGACATGCGGAAATAATAACGAAACGACCTCAAAACAATAACGAAACGAATACAATATCGAAATACGAAGCATTTACAAAACGTTTTTGAAAAATCGTTTTTTTAAATAATTGCTCCAGAATGGTTCGTTATCGTTTTGTAATTGAAAAAATTAACGAATTATTAACGAATTACGAATTAACGAAACGAAACCGCCCAGCCCTAATAAATACATCTCTTTAATAAATAAATCAATAAGATTGAATCCTACCATTTCAAAAGTTTTCATATAACTATTCTAGTTATAACTGGAATCCAGGTAAACAGCAAGAACAGGGGAAAGGGCTCAGTTTACCATAAAACACGCAATCAAAACATACACGATCAATTGATATTCTCTTCCACTCCGTCCATATATAACTTATACCTGCTCCAATATACATACATTACAAGGGTTTTGGTGGAAATATTTTTAAAGGCTTTAACACTGGCGAATATTTCTCTCTCATCCTTATCCCTAGACACATTTCAATGTTGCAACTCCGAATTAAGCAATAGTTTTAATATATAGATGGTATCTTTATGAACACTGTAGTGACAGAGATTGCAATTTCATTTCTGAGATATGGGAAAAGTATTCAAATGATTTGTTCAACTATTATCTCTTAAAACATAAGCTTAATGTCTCTTTATGAAGAGAAAAAAAATCCAAGATTCCAAATTCCAGTTGTAAGATTTGCAACTCTTACTAAGACAGTAGATATTCAATGAACAAAGCTATGGATATCACAAAAATGCCTCTGAAAAAGTTGATCTGTGCTACTTACAACTTTTGATAACTGTACATATACTTCTATATATACCTTAAGATAACATTTCTGTTTGCTATACTTATGCAGGCTAAATTCTGATTTTTTTTCTAAAAGTGATAATTATATATTATCAAGTAAACAAAAATCGCTCCCTTCCTGGAAATTTTGATTGTGAGTTACAGATACACAGATATATAAATCTAGGCCTAGAAAAGATTTTTCAAACATTTAGTTACCTTTCCATGGCTTCAAATCTCATGCCAGTTAACCGCTTAACTCGGTGGCTCCCTGGGAATTGCCGTCTTAGTTCTTGAAGACAAAACTGTATTTTGAAGAACACCATATACAAAAAAGCAGGAAGTAAGGAACCTTTTTTCTCTCAAGTCAGAAACTAACATTCAAGTGTTGTTTATTTGAATATGGTAACGGAGAGTATCAACTAGCAGTGGCCTCTTTTAATACAAGCCAACACAGCATATCAAGACCTTCCCAGCAATGTTTGAGATACCAAGACACAGACAAAGCGCAGACCACAAGATACAATATATATATATATATATATATATATATATATATACACACACACACACACACACACACACACACACACATACACACACACCCCAAACTAATTTAAAATGTATAGATAAAACTATTCTGGATGTTTCAAGTGCATACTACAATTTGCAAGGAATTCAAAACAAAAACAGACTAAATAAATGATAGCGTCACCTACAGAATATATACATAAGACATGTGACTAGCAAATCCTATTCTTATCAATGGGTTTACAATAAGTGGGTCTAAATCACAATTTGATCCAAAGTCCTTAATAAATTAGAGGTTTTGTTTTATAAGCATTTGTGTGGGATTACGTCTAAATGTAAGTAAAAGGGCTTCAGAGAAAACACGTCTAGTATAAAACTATACCCTACCATCTAGATTGTGAGTTTTGATTATGGTAACACACATGCTTATGGGATAAGTCAGTAACAGATATTAAAGTCAACTGCAGGCATTTCCTAAACTGAAAAAATAACCCTCTTCTGAGCTGCTACTAGAAATTTGATCCCAGATGTAATTAGGGAAAAAAATGAATGAAGGAATCTGCAAAAACACTATGTGTGGAAGAAATCAAGACAGATGATGGCTTGAGCAAAAAGTTATATATGTAAAATAAAATATAAAAGAAGAGAAATGGAAAAGGAGAATAGGAAAGAAGACAATTATATCTGGAAGTTCTGTATTTCAAAGAAATCATGGAAGAAGAAAAACTGAATTAGAACAGGATATCTAAGTTACTATAAATACTTGAATAGTGAAAGTCTCAAAACAAGAGCCCCAAGGATGATTAAGAAGAATAGGCAGTTGAATGCAGTCTACTGACCGCTTTAATTTCTATTTTGTTTTCATGCTAGAAGGTAACATCAATTAGTCCACATTTATAGCTCTGCAGACTGTATACACAATTAATTTAAAGATTTTCATATGTGACAGCATAACTCCTTCCCTACCCTCTATTTCTTGCCTTCTATTTTTTTATTCTAAGGTAAGTGGAGGAAATTGACAGTTTTTGAATAAAAAAACTGTTAATGGAAGTGTTGCTTTAAATGATCCAGTCTTCAATTTTAGACATGCAGGTACTACAGGTGGCAGGCCAAAACCAAGTGATCTCACTAAAATTATGCACCTTTTGTATTTACGCAGGTACATGAAAGAGTTGGGGTCAGAGAATAAAAAATAAGTCACATTAACAGATGTTACACGGCAGAAAAAAACAGCCTGAAGGGGCCAAAGGTTCAGCTGAACAGGCAAATGAAGGTCTAACACAACTCACTTTGAAAGTAGGGCACAACTGCTTTACAACACAGGGCATTCATTCATTGGATTTCTAAAGCCAGGATGATAGATCACAAAAAACAGATTTGGAATCTGGTATCTGCAGCTGTGGCAAAAAGCCAGTCAGAATTATGATTGTGTTGAACGTCCTTTCAATTAAGTATGTGGATCAATAAAAATCTAAAGTTTTCATTAAGATTGAAAACTCTTTTCCATATGGAGGCCAGTTTCACCACTTGAATCATGCTGAGATTCTTATAGGACACTTTGGGGGCAGAAGTTCAAGCTTAAAACTGTTGTGGCAATTATTAGTGTTTAAAAGGGGGCTTAAAAGTATAAATTTGATGATGTAGGGCTCTTCTATACATTGGCATCACATTGTTCAGGCATAGTAAAATCAAAATATTTTCACTGATGTATTATAAAATTACAATATTTATCAGCAGAAGCAGCAGAATATTGATGTGTATTGTAAATTTTTAATCTCTAAACATTCTTATGGGCCCTGCAATATAAAAGAAAATGAGAGAGCTATTTTGTGGGTTGCTCCTTTTGATTAAAAAGAAAAAGAATGTCCATAATACAAGCAAGATTTCTGTAGCAGCTATGCACCAAAACCCACATGCATGATAGTAACTAGATCCTCCATAAAAAGCACCAGATTGACAAAAATATTTCCAACTATTTTGCAGGGTTTATATCACAATTTCTTTACAATATGGAGGTAACACATTATTTTGGCATTCAGCTGGTATATAAGAATCTGAAAGTATTTTTACAACTCTAGAAAGACCTGTAGGGCTTACAAGCAAAGGCATAGTATATAGACTCTTTTCCTTTTAAGAACATGTGAAGTGTATAAGCCTATTCAAATAATTTTTAAAACACAGTTATTTCTCCAAACCCATTACATGCAAGCTTGTTCCTCTGGAGGACCAAAACCGATCCTCCATCTACATATAATAGGGCACATTTGTTGAGGTGGAGGAAACAGATACACATAATTGCCAATCTTATAAATAAAAAGGGAAAATGTATATTCCAGAATTAGCAGGAAGAAAGCATAGTTTTCAGACAGCTACGTTTTAGAAACACTATATTTCCGAAATGGTGGACCATCACTGTGAAAACTGATAGATTTACTAGAATACACCACTATTTTATTTTCAAAAGGCTAGCTGGTGAACTGACAAATTTGAGTATAGCAGTGAGGAGATACATCTATCCTTCAAGAACAAGATGTTATTAAAGTTCAATAAATAATATGGGGAAAAGATGTAGGAAGCCAAGTTCCTTCTTCATATGTTATGTCAAAATAAGTACCTTCTGATGCCTGCAAAATGACTGATCACCATTAAACAATATATTGGGGGGGGGGGGGMGCTTGGAAGGGTATGTTTGCTTGGGACTATAAAATGCTGAAGTTGTAATTCTGGGTGAAAAAAGAAATTTCCCCTGCTATCTACTTATTATCCAGCCTAGCTTACTAATGCAAGGGTAGCTTCTCCAATTTTTATCAATTTCCCCCTCTGAATGCTGTCCAAGACACTACATGTATTCCATGCTATTTCAGAGAGATTGTCTATCATAAGGCATTATTTTTTTTCCAGAAAAGAGATATAATGAAAAGGAGATTATTAGAATGCAAAGAGTTCCAAAATATTTGGATTTCACAACAAGTCAGAAGGAACACTCACCATCGCCAAGTCATCCCGGCTGCAGTCCAATGCAGCAATCATCACCTGTTCATATATTATCCAAACTAAACAACACAAAAAACACCAGCAATTTAAAAAGCTGATTTTTTCAAAACAATTGCCAACACATACCTATCAAATACAATCAATTACATTTCTTTCTGCACTTCTGTTATAAGTAATCTCTTGTGAAATTTTGAACCCATCACGTCCTGCTTCACTTTAATATGTTTATAACTCAATATATTTTAAAATATTGTGATGTATATGTACTTCCATTAATAAATATTAAAATGTTAAATCCAAACAAATAAATTAAATATGGCAACAATTCAGAATCACCATAATACAAAAAGTAGGCTGGTTCTAGAAATTTAAAAAATGCTCCTAGTATGCTTTTCTTCACTCATTTTAAACCACAATTTCATCAATGTTTCGCTAATTCACTATTCAAAGTGAATTTCAAAGTTTTCTTAAACAGATGTTCACAGGAAGTCAGAAAAACAGAAAACAACAGAGTTCTTTTCTGGATTGTCATATACCTCCTTATGAATCTCAGGCTCTCTAATTGATATAAACTCTTGCCAATACTGTGTTCTCAATTCATCATATATACCCTGTTTGCTGAAATCTAATGCTCACAATTTTTGGCTAAATTACCTTTCCTAAATTAGGGTGTGAAATAAATTTGTGCAATATGGTAATCTTAGTGCTAAGCCAAAGCCAACAGGAAAACTGCTTTTGGAGCACCTGGAGCTCCTATTTGAGGGACACCATCTCTACTTTAGTTGCGATGGTTCAATGCTATATAATCCTGAGATTTGTAGTTTGGTGAGGCATCCTTTGGCAGAGAAGGCATAAGGCCTTGTAAAACTACAACTCCCATTATTTCATAACATTGAGTCAAGGCATTAAAAGTGGATTATTTTCACAGGAAGTTGGACTAGATGGGCCATGCGGTCTCTTCATGGCAAGGGGGTTGGACTACATGGCTCATGTGGTCTCTTCCAACTCTATGATTCTATATGACATAAATGTGCCCCAAGGTTTTCTTTTCCATTGTTAGAAGCTTTGGCGTTATTACACTTTTGTTTTTAAAGAAGGAATTCTAAACACGCAGCAACAATAATGGCCAAATGATAAAGTGTGCATTTTTTGCTGCTTGTGTATTACATTCAGCAGCAAATACTTTTTTTGTTTTCAGGGTTTTGTAAGTTGAGGTGTACATTAAATTTGATGGCACATTAGACTTGAGTAAATACAGGTATTATTTCACTGACCAAATCTACTCCATCTACTTTCAGCATTTCTTGTTACATTGAGGGTGTTGAACAATCAAGGAGAAATGAACAAGGGAAAGCATGAATATGTATTTACACCTGTTCCGTGTAAATGCTGCAAGGATCTTGGGAGTTTACCAGATTATTCTACAACAGAAACTGAACTAATATCCGGTCCATCCTTTACTTACTATAAACATATAGATTGATAACCTTTGTTAACTTCTTGACTAAACTCCAGTTTACCTCTATGATTAGTCAAACACTACAATCTTTAAGAATAAATATGGATGTGACAGCACAAAATGTGAAATAATTATGCTGACTTCTGGAGTATTAATAGACACCTCAAGTGCACACCATTGGGAGGGGAGATACCAACTGTGTTTATCCTCAAGGACTAAAGTTGTAAAGATAATGACATATTTAGAAACAAGAAGTTGTTACAAATCTGTTATAATTTACAACGTGAAGTTACAGTGGTGAACGTCACATTCAGCATTAAGGTCGTCCTTTTCATCACTCTCTGCTTACATTAGATTCAAGAGGAAGGAAGCATATGTAACTAAGTTTTGTCCAGCACTTCCAATGTTCATCTCCAAACTATGAAATAAGGAATTAGGAGGTGACTGTGAAGTATTCTTATATGTGTTTATTATCATTTTTTTCTTGGGGGGCGGGCGGTGGAAGAAATTCTAATGTTCATTATCAGATATATTAGTGACAACCCCTGGCAACATGCCAGAATGTTTGCCTTCTGGCTCAAGTTAAAACCAATGAACCCATTTCAGAAATATTGCCCTTTTTTTTTGATTCACTTAAGTGTTTAGTGAGACCAAAACTTCCTAAAATTAAATAAAGAAGGGTACACCCGTCCTGATCTTGGAGGCCTTTGCCAGAAATAAACTCCTCATACTGTCTGAATTAAGTTAACTGAATTATAGAAAGGAAAAAAGAGAAAGTAGAATGAGCTCATTAAAAACAAATCACTGATACTTATTCCCTTCCTGCCTAAATAAGAACCCTACTCAACTTTATAAAGTTTTCTTGCCATAAAACACTCAGCTCCGTTATCCTGTGCACATATATAAAGAGGAATTGCATTATTGTGACTTTCTTTAAAACAATCCCCTTCTGGTATATGATACCATGTGCCAAGTTTCTGTCTAGGGAGAATTAGGACTGTGCACTTACAATCTTCCTGAATCATTCAGTCAGACTGTATGTAATGAAAATCCAGAAACGCCCTAGACTCTCATGCCCAAAAATATAATAAAAGCAACCCTTACAGAGATTCCATGTAGCTAAAGTTATGTTTAATTTCAGGACTAACCTTCCTTCTCCATTTCAAACTCTAGCTATTGCTCCACAGAGTGAAGACATCCAATGGCTGAAATCTGTCCAAGGGTGTTTGGCCAAGGGCTCTCAAAAGAATTCTCCTGAGTAGTGGCCAGGCTATATACATCCTATTAAGCATATATCCTTCTGGTCACACCCTTCAGCTGGAAAGCAGATCAGGACTGGAAAGTACTAGCAGATCCTAAGGTTACAAAAGTTATGGGCACACCATATATCAAAATGCACCAGAACAGTGAAGTAAAAAAAATATAGAGGCTAACAAGAGAATAAAATAAAATAAAACCAGATGGACAGAATAAAGAATACAACAGACATAAAGGAAATTTGACCTACTGTCATCACCAAGCTTAGCTGCGTATTCGTTAATTAACTCTTCTCCAACTTCTACTATTTGCTCACTGTTCCGATAGTTCTCTTCCCTCCACTTTCTCATTTTATCTCGCATCTCTGAAATACAAAGCAAATAAAGAACACCCACATAAAAAAACAGAATAAACTGAGGTGTGTATTTCTCCCTGCTAAAAATGCTGTATAACATTTTAGTAATTCCAAGCCTGAAGCTTTAAAAATATGTTTGGTGCAATTTGTAGGAGCCAAACTACGGTAAGTTTAATGAAGTTGTGCATTTGCTGGCAGTGATCAAAAATGTATTTCTTATATAATGTATCCTGTACCCTTGCATGTCCACCAAAATGTCTTGATACAAAATATTTCAGTTAGCACTGAAAATGTAAGAGGCAGAGGAAAATATGTTTCATCATTTCATAAAGACACTATCTCTGGGTCTATGATTAGTTCATCATTTAAGGTGATAGTCAGATAGATCGCAAATATAAGCATGCCTAGACTGATTTCAGTGCATGTTTTTGCTGCACTAAAATTACTTGTGTATAACCACATCTACATTCATTTCTCTCATTATTCAAAACCACTTAAATAATTAAAACTAAAATCATGAGATTGACAACAAGGAAGTTCTATTGTAACAGAGAACATTGTTCTTACTTAGTTAGCATGTTGAATACTACTTTTGCACTTGCTACAGGGAATATTGAGAAACACAAAAAAAATTCCAATCCTGCCCAAGATAACTTCTATTTGGTTTTGTTACTTTCATTAGATTCCTTTTTTTAGTTACAACTATGCAATAGTAATAGCAATGTATGCGAATGTCATTCCCTCTATTATTTCCTCAACTAATATAAAATCATAAACTGACATAGAAAGCATAGATTTAATATATCCACAGAAATCAACATGACAGCATTTATGTCCACATTTTATAGAACTGGATAGAATGATCATTTTACCAAAAACAGCATTCTAACATCAGCATTCTAACATATTAACATCAATTTTATAAAAATGTCAATATATTAAACATCTAAAATACAAGAAAAATAACTTCCAAGAATGTGTGTACATGTATGCAAGTCACCTGTCAACATAAATTTAAAGAAAAATTGCAAGTTCGCTTGTTTTTAAATATACTACTAACCAGGATATCCAATTAATAAGCAAGAGTTTTTAAAGATAAGAAGCCCTTTTAATTAAGGACAAAAATTTAAAAGCTATCCAATAGCGTTTTAAAATTCACCTTGTTCATTAAAATCATTTTAACCCTTCATAAATGAAGAGGCTTTTTTCAGACTAGAGTTTTAGGACCAAAAAGATAAACAATGGCAATAATCAAGGGGGGGGGGACCTCAACATTCACTATATTTGTTCTAAAACTTCTGTATTCTATTTACTGAATACTTGCTACATACAAAGATTTAACGTAACATTTTAAAATGATATATTTACATTAAAAATACACATCTTTAAATGTGTTGGTCTTTTGACATTTCAAAATTCCCCAGCTGTCAGTTTTAAATTTAATTTTTTTCCCTAACATTCCCACCCCACATATGCTTCCATCCACAAATAATGATCTCAGATCTCTTTGGGGAGAAAGAAACCACCCTGTTACTGTGCTGTATTTTATTTTGAAAGTCAACCAAAACCACCACAGGGTTACATTTCACGTGCCTGAGTAAAACTAAATGGCTCTTGACTTAAGACGACCTCTGGAAATTAAAAATTAGACAAAAAAAATGGGAATGAATATCAAACATATTACAGTGAGGCTGACAGCCCAAAGTCTAGACTGTAAGCATTCACAAATAATGAGAGTTCTCTACACTAATTTACTTTGGCTACTATGAGAGACTTGATGCCAGTGTAACTTTCAAATGTAATAATGATTCTGTATTGAAGTATAAGGTTTCTAATAATGGAAAACTGGGAGGAGACAGAATATATTTTGCCACTCAATATCTAAATATAAGAAAATGAACACAATAAACCACTATAAATTTAATCCTTGATATTTTTAAAGAAGTCACCTACAGTTCAATAGGGATTACTATTATTTCAATCCAATAAAAATAATTATTTATGTTGGGTAACAGGATCAAAGCAGCCTGGATCTGAAGACAATGGATAAAATAGTTCATTAAATGTCTCTTATCCGTTTAAAGCCAGTGTATTGAACAATGGATTTTGCATAAGATAATCACTTCACTCTGCACCAAAATTCACCCCTTGTCCTGTATTTACATAGAATATGAACAATTCTCCCTCCATGGTCATGTAGACATCATTTTTAGCTTCCATAATTGAATCTTTAAAGAGCGGTCCCATTTCAAATGGTCAGGAGCCTATTATGCCTTGGCTGACAAGAAGAGAATGAAGACTACATGACAGTATCTTGCAAACAGATTGAACATTTCTTTCCAGATAATTTTTAGATCCATTCTGACTTGGATACAACAGCTGATATAGGTTCAACAGATCAATCTCTGGTCCCACTTGATAGGTGATAATGGGTTATTTTCTATTTGTACATCTAAATGACAAAAGATAAGTCTTGCCATATTAGGCTCTCATTCCCTTGGTTCATAAAAAGGACCAGAGGAAGATTGCTACATCCATTGCCAACAAGGGCAGTGGTTACTATGCTAAAATATATGCAAACTATTTAAAATGTAAAATTGGTTCTCATTTGCAAACCATACACATGTCTCAATAACTCAAGAGTGCTTAAACACTTAAATAATCATGCTTCGGGTTGTGACAAGTTATGACTTTGTACCATCAATGATACATCTGCAAACACAATTACCTGAAAGTAACCCTATTTCACCTAATTGGAGCGTAAATGCACTTAACAAGTGCGTGGGTGTAAAGTCTTAAAAGAAAGTAAAACATCTAACCTAAAATCAAAGTGAACAACAAAGTTATAAGTTCCACAGTATTCAATAGGGCATCTTCCAAACTGTGTGGAGAAAAAAGGGGTTAATATCCAAAAATATGTTTGCAACCTCTTTTTCTCTTTCTGGACTCTAAGCTATCGACATGCTCTTCATGGGTGCTTTTCCTCATTATATAACTCCTCAGAGGAAGGCCACTGTAGAAAGGAGGCGAGAAAGGTGTGTATGCACGAGAGAAGAGGAAAGGAAGGAGAGCTGGGTTGCTGTGCAGAGAGGTGAGGCTCCTGGCAGGAAGGTGTGGGGATGAAAAAATCCCTTTGTCATTTGGGTATGCGGCTGGCATACCCAAATGGGAAAAGTAACACCCAGATATTTTTTTCCTCTTAGACTAACACCTATTAAGATGGCTACTCATTCCACCAATGCTTTCTCTTCTGATTCCTAGTAACACTTCCAATAGTATAAGGTCACATTTTCCTAACATGTCAGGTTTTACTTGCCAACAGGCTATTACTGCATATACTTGAGTATAAGCCTAATCTCTGCTTATACTCAGGTGAGGGTCCTAGCGGAAAGGCATGGGGCTGAAAGAAGGGCTTCTTTCAGTCCCACGTCTTCCTGCTAGGACCCTCACCTCTCTGAACAGCAACCCAGCTCTCTCTCCTTTCCTCCTCTCTCACACAGTGTGCACCTTCCTCTCCTCCTCTCTTGGCACAGTACGCACCTTCCTCTCCTCCTCTCTTGGCGCAGCACACACCTTCCTCTCCTCCTCTCTTGCCACCAGTCTTTCCCACTCTTCCTTATTCATATACACACAGCATTTTCTCCAAAATGTATAGTTAAAATAAACTATGGTGATTACTGGAAGAATACACAAGCACATTTACACTGAAGAAGATTAGAATAATGATTTAATTAAAGTTGGACAGTCTTACCTGAAATTACAGGTTTATGTAAAGATTCAAAAACATTTAACCTACTGATGCCTTGATTAATGTAATTTCATTGGTACCGATTTTTATTTTGAAATTTACCAGTAGATGGATGCATTTCCCACCCTCAGCTTATACTTGAGTCAATATGTTTTCCCAGTTTTTGTGGTAAAATTCGGTGCCATGGCTTATATTCAGGTCAGCTTATATTCGCATATATATGTTTGTTTGTTTTTTGTCATGTCAGGAGCATCCTGTTGTGAGAGAATTGGCCGTCTGCAAGGATGTTGCCCAGGGGATGCCCGGATGATTTTGATGTTTTATCATCCTTGTGGGAGGCTTCTCTCATGTCCCTGCATGAGGAGCTGGAGCTGATAGAGGGAGCTCATCTGCCTCTCCCCGAATTCAAACCTGCGACCTATCGGTCTTCAGTCCTGCCGGCACAGGGCTTTAACCCACTGCGCCACCGGGGGCTCCTTATATGGGGGTCCTGGTATATGGTAAGTACTCAAGAGTGATATTCATCACTGAGCATTTAACATAGAATATGCTGTTCTATATCTCAAGACTGTGCAGACTGCAGAATGCTGTCCAAGTCTAAATGTACTGAAAGGGAGATTTTCTTCCTTCTCAAAGAGTTCTTCCCCCTAGAAAATACTTACAGGCGTAACATTTGTGGATGGGAAGGTTGCCAGCCAAATGTCATTTTTTTAAAAAATGTTTCTAGTTTTTCATTTCAAGCCATCTTTGGTCTCTACTGGGAGACAGGTAGTATATAACTGAAACAAACAAATTAGATTTATTGGTAGTTTATGGGAATATCTGTTCTAAGAAATCAACAAGCACATTTTATTATGATTATTCATTTATTTATTGCTTTCCCTGCTGATGACATCTCATCCCACACTTCTTAAATGACACTCTGGTGTAACTATAAATCAAGAGCTCCATTTCCATATAGTCCTTCACAAATTTCTTTGTAGATATTAGTCTGTGTGATCTGTTACCATACAGGGATATTATGGTGACAAAGTAGGGAAGAATACCCATGTATACAACTCAGAGCACACTGGAAGCAGATGGATATAATAAATTATTAAGAAATGAGCCAATACTTATATTCTCTTTCCAAGTGTTACTTAGGGAGAGGAAGAGAAGAGCACTTCATCCTTCCCAGCTTTACCACAATCAGTGTCATGAAAATTGAAGGAAAGCTTTGGATTTAAATTGTATTTTATTTGGTTTTACTCTGTCTCTCTGA